CTTCTTCTGTGAGATCTTGGCAGTGCTAAAACTGGCCTGTGGGGACATCTCCCTCAATGCGCTGGCATTAATGGTGGCCACAGCTGTCCTGACACTGGCCCCCCTCTTGCTCATCTGCCTGTCTTACCTTTTCATCCTGGTCGCCATCCTTAGGGTACCCTCTGCTGCAGGCCGGCACAAAGCCTTCTCCACCTGCTCAGCCCACCTCACAATGGTGGTGGTTTTTTATGGGACAATCTCCTTCATGTACTTCAAACCCAAGGCCAAGGACCCCAACATGGATAAGATTGTCACATTGTTCTATGGGGTTGTGACGCTCTCACTGAACCCCATCATCTACAGCCTGAGGAACGCAGAGGTGAAAACTGCTGTCCTAGCTCTGCTGAGAGGAGGTCTGCTCTCCAGGAAAGCATCCCACTGCTACTGCTGCCCTCTGCCCCTGTCAGCCGGCATAGGCTAGGTTGTGCTGTGGTCATGACCTCAAACCTTCAGAGGCTTAAAGCCATTAAGGTTTGTTTCTTGCTCCTGCTGCAGGTCCACCAGAGGCTGGTGGGGCTTCTGCTCCACATCATGGTCTTCACCCCTCTGAGACTCCGGATGACAAAGCAGCTACCATTGGGAACATTGCTGGTCACCATGACAAAAGGAAAAGGGAAAGTAACAAAGCCTGCACAGACTCTTAAAGCTTCTACTCAGAAGTGGGTGTGTTGCCTCCACCTACATTTCAGTGGCCAACACAATGGCAACAGGAAGGCACAGGACCACACCTATTGTGAAGGAGGAGAAGCACGCTATCGTGTCTGGACGGCAAAAGAGAGGGACAGAGAGATTTGTGAATGGCCTAATGACTACCACACCAGCTGACAGTGTCAACCCAAGAGCTAGTGGAGGTTTGGTTTTCTTTATCCTGACCATCTATCCTTCACAGGTTGCTGCCAGGTTAATCATCCCAAGAAAGCTCTGGTTAGCTCACTTGTGGTAGCTTTATACTGAGTCAACCAAACTAGGTTAGAGGGTCTGGGTTAGTGTTAGGCACAGAGAAGTTTGCATGAGATTTGGAAGGCAAAAGTGGGCCAGCTGTGGTGGCTCATGCCTGTAATCCCAGCACTTTGGGAGACCGAGGTGGGCGGATCACCTGAGGCCAGGAGTTCGAGACCAGCCTGAGCAACATGATGAAACCCTGCCTCTACTAAAAATACAAAAAATTTGCCGGGTGTGGTGGTGCACCTGTAGTCCCAGCTACTACGCAGGATTGCCTGAACTTGGGAGGTGCAGGCTGCAGTGAGCTGAGATGCCGCCACTGCACTCCAGCCTGGGTGACAGAGCAAGACTCCGTCTCAAAAAAAAAAAAAAAAAGAAAGAAAGAAAGAAAAAATGGAACAGCACCAGACACAGTGAGGGCACTCACATGTCGCTAATCTGCTGGCTCCCCGTTAGCACAGCCTGTCCAGTCCCCACCAGGACACTTCCTTCCACTGTGCTGAGTGCTGGACCAAGTGCAAGCTCCATGGCAAAGGTGCCAGCTTCTCCTGCAGGTCACCAGTCACTGAGATTGAAGGCACAAGGGCCAGGCACAGGTTCCAGTTTGTCCTCCTGGATTCTAGTGTGCCCTTACTGCCCCTCACTTCACACTCAGCCTTCTTTCCTAACTGCTGGCCCAGCTGAGCTGTAACAGCTTCAGGCCCAACACCAAATGCAGAGGTTAACAGTTTTGCACAGATTTCTCCAACTGTTCCCATGACTGTAAAGTTCTCGTGTTTTTATCACTCATAGTGGTTCTGTGACTTTGGTCAAACCCGGATTGATTCATCACTTTTCTGATCAAGGACTTTTGACAGCTCCCATTACCATTAAGTCTAAATTCTTCAGTTGAGTCCTCAAGGCCCTCCAGAATCTGCCCCCACCTGCTTCTTCAGCCTGATTTTCCACTACACCCTTCACATGGCTGTCCGCTCGCTACACTATCTGTACTGCCGCACCCCCATGTCTTTGTACCCTTGCACGTATTGTGCTGTTCTCTGATGATACCTGGAACTAGTTTTCAAAGCCAGGTTAGACATCATCTCTTTCATGCATCCTTTCCCACTGCACTTTAAGATCGTTCTCTTTACATCCTACAGCACTTTGTCAGATCTTCCACTTCACACTTGTCCCATCTAACTCGCATTCATGACACTTCACCACCGTGTGAGCTCCTTCAGGGCAGGATTCAGTCGGGTCTGGCTCATCTCTGTAGCTCCCACAGCACGTTCCCTGTGGAAGGGTTGTGGGACTGAATCATCACTCAGAAGCCTTCAGAACATCACCCTGTGGGGATTGAGCCCTGTGCTGCTGAACATGCCCCAGGCAGCTGCAGGTGCTCAGAAGTCTCAGTCCAGTCATATGTACAGATACGTGCAAGGGTGCAGCAATATCTGCCAGCCACAGCCCTGTATTCAAGGCAAGGAAGGGCTGTTTGAATCTTGGGATCTCTCCCACTGAGACAGGTCAGGAGACAACCAAGGATCCCCATTTTGGAAGCCTGGAGACAGGCCTGGTTCAGCAGCTACGTCCAGCACTGTCATATTGCTGGCCCCTTTCCCTCCGGGAATCCCACATGCACCTCAAACTGTCCAAAGTGGAGCTCATCGTCCCCCGACCCAAAGTGGTGTCACCATCTCAGGGAATGGCACCACCACCCCCAATCAGAATATTACCATCATCCTAGGTTCTCTCATACCTCACCGCCCCACACATCCAGTCACCAAGTCCTAAAGAGTCCCTTCCTTTCCACCGACATTGCGTTAAGAAGGCTTCACCATTTCTCTCTCAAATGTTCCAATAGCTGTGTCACTGTACTTTGTCCTCCAAGGTCTCCCAAAGTCCATCCTCTGCCCCAGCCATCAAAACTCCAATCTGATCATGTTACTCTCCTGCTTAAATCTCTCCAGTGGCTCCTCATTTCCCATAGACTAAAGACCCAACCTCCACTTACCTATCCAACCACACCATTGGCTGCTTACCTCCACTATCCCACTCCACACACAAAAGCATGCGCACGTGCACCGGCCCAGGCACACTGAACTATTCAGTGCCCAGAGTAAATATCAGTCTTTCCTGCCTCTGCATGCCCTCTTGCTGTTCCCTCTCCATGTCCAAACACTTGGTGACCTTAAGCTAACATATGTTGGACCACATCACATACCAGACTAGGCACTATACAAGTGTTCTAAGAGCTTTACTGACTGAAGACCACATGGAATGATGAAAATCTCAGGGGAGGGATGCCATATGGACACTGGTGACCACAAAGAACACTCTCCCATTATCTTGGCATCATGGCAACTCAGTTAATCCTAGTTCAAATGTCCCTCTTCCAGGATGCCCCTTATGACCCCCCCTCACTGGGTGGGATGCACCCCAGCTCCATCTCCCACTTCAGAGCTTTCTGTACTCTGCCAACTCCGTCCAGAATCCCAGCTATATGGGTTCAAGCATCCCAGTGACGTGGCTCTATACATCTTAATGTGGTATTTCTGATGTAGGAACAGTATTTTCTAAAATAGGAACAGACACGTAGCTCATATCCCCTCACTGCTTCTCACTACTTACTTGGCCACACCATTCTCTGCTCAGTGCCCCATGGAAGAGATGTGATTGCAGAAAGCAGATAACAAAGGCATGTTTGCCTGGCTTTTGGGGTTCAAAAGCCTAGGTCCTGAAGGGAACAGAAAAGGCTTAAGGCATAAATAAAATATTCGGGCTAGGCCGGGCGCAATGGCTCACGACTGTAATCCCGGCACTTTGGGAGGCTGAGGCAGGAGGATCACCTGAGGTCAGGAGTTCGAGAGCAGCCTGACCAACATGGAGAAACCCCATCTCTACTAAAAATACAAAAATTAGCTGAGCATGGTGGCGCATACCTCTAATCCCAGCTACTCGGGAGGCTGAGGCAGGAGAATCACTTGAACCCGGGAGGCAGAGGTTGCAGTGAGCTGAGATCGGGCCATTGCACTCCAGCCTGGGCAATAAGAGCAAAACCTCTGTCTCAAAAAAAAAAAAAAAAAAGATTCAGGAGAAAACATTAAGTAAGGCTTCCTCACCTCCAATATTAACAAAAGGGAGAAAGAAGAGAGAAGGGGAGAGAATGTAGTGAGAATACTGACACAGAGGGTACCAAAAGGGAGGGTCCCTGAGCCCCACATCCCAGGCCAAGATAGATTTGCAGGTTTTAAAAGATGCAGCAACTCATGCCTTGTGAAAACCCAGAACAGAAATGGCTTCAAGGCGTGTCTGCATAGCCAAGGCCTCAGACAACTTCACAGTTCTCCACATATGGCCCAGAAGTGGCAGAGAGAACCTTAGGACTGAGAGGGTTATGCAAATGGGAACAAGAAATCTCTCTGCATCCCAGATGAACTGTCTGGACCTCTGACTGGGGACCAGATGGAATGATGGAACTCTCGGGGATGGATGAAGTATGGACACTGGTGATCAGTAAGAATGCTCTCCCAACTTCTTGGCATTATGTAAGACCCTCAGAACTCAGCTATGACCCTCATGGGAAGAGAAGGAATCCCGAATAGACAAAAGATCTTTTCTGGCACTCAGGAAAAATGGGGGCTCAAAACAGAAGTTACATTCTTGTGATATTTCTTGCACACCTGAGATGTGTACCTGCTATTCCAATTTCCTGGGATCTCGGCTTCCTTCTGTGTTGGGTGTGGGTGTCATGAGGAAAGTCTGTCTCGCTGATTTAAACCATCTCAGCGTATGCATACACACACACACACACACCCCTCTCAGCTATTGCAAACTGGGCTCAATATGAATTGGGGAATGGACATTAGAAGGTGTTTAGAAATGAATGCAAGGCCCAGATGAGCGTGATCAGACTGTGTACATGGCATGACAAAAGCCTCCAGCAGTAGCTCCCATCAGCCCTGCTGATTCCCTGAGGGGCCCTCTTTCCCCCATTCCCCACACCCCTGACCCCAGGGGTAAAAAAGGCAGCACAGAACCATTCTGAACCAATCATTCATTGGAGACACACAGACTCCACCTGTATCAAACGAGGATACCAGCCACCCAGACAGCCCCAGTCCCAGCTTCATCCATCCCGCAATCCCTCCTCCGCAGCACAGCACAGCCCAGACGCTGCCTCTGGAAAGGGAGCCTGAGGCCAGAGTTGCTGAGCCTCTGGGAAAATCTGGAAATTTGGTTTCCCCAAGAGAGACTCCACCTCCTCTGGAATGATCCGTGTTCCTGACAGGGGTTTGTCTCCCTGGGAAGAAATCCATGTCTTGGGAAGGCTCCGTATCCCAGGAAAGGCTGCACACCTGCAGGAGGGACTCCTTGGTCCTGAGGGGCTCTGTGCCTGCATAGGCTCCAGTCCTTAAGAAGGACCCATGATGCAGGGGGACTCCAGGCCCTCAGGAAGTTCTCCATGTCCTGGGAAGGGCTCCAGGTCCCTGGAAGAGTTCTGTGTCCTTGAGAAAGACTCCATGTCCTCAAGAAATACAGCCTGTCTCCTTCTAAGAGGGCTCCACGCCCCCAGAAAGAACTCTAGGAAGCGTCCATATCCCCCAGGGCCAGGCCCAAAGCCCCTCTCAGCTGGCACAGATGCTGCTGACAGTGGCCCCTCCTGGGCCCACGAGGCCCAGCTCCTCCTGCTCGTTGATGCATAGCTGGTAACCACAGCCCCGGGCCCGGGCTCCAGACGGAACCCGGTGGTCAGTCTTGGCACGAGGGGGCAGCAGGAAGCCCACACTGCCCGCAATGAGCATATGCCAAATGCTGTGAATGTAGAAGTAGTTGTCCCGGGTCTCCACAAAAGCATAAAGCAGGACGGCGCTGCCTGCAATAAGGCTGCCCGGGCACAAGTAGAAAAGCCAGCGGCGCCACGTGGGTGGGTAGCAGTGCCGGCGGCGGACGCTGCGTACTGTCTAGGGGAGACAGAGAAGTGGGGCTCAGGAATTCCAAGCCCTGGGACCCAAGCCACAGTTGGTCACTCTCAGGTTTCCTCTTTAGGTTGTGACCTAAAGACATCTTCTAAGACTGGAGCGGACACTGCCAGCAGCAGGTGATGACGACAGAGCTAAGCCCACCTTAAACTGGGGACCAGATACCTGGGGCCCCACACCCAAGTCCTGCTAGGACCCTCCCCCAACGTCCCTCCCCACCCTTACCCAGGCTGTGGCCAAGATCCCCAGGGCGAAGAGACTGGGTCCAAGCAGGTTCCAGAGTCCATGTCGGTCAAGCTGCAGAGCCATGGACAGCAGCATAGCTCCCAGCAAATACAGCACCTAGAGAAAGAGACTCCAGGGCTGGGCTAGGGCCAGGTGACAGACAGCACTCCAGGGGCTGGGTCAGAATCATGAGAGGCACTTGGAAATGCTCCCAGGGAGAGATCAGGAGTGGATTTCAAGAAGACTTGGCCACGGCTGTTCCCCAGGGCCCACTCTGGACTGACCTGCTTGACCACGGGCTGTAAACGAGCCATGGCAATGACAGTGACCCACACGGACATTAAGGAGCCCAGGAAATCACAGAACTGCAGCACATCGTAGTCCATGATGCAGAAAACCACGATGCCTGGCTGGTCACAGGCATGATAGAACTGAAGGAAGAAATGACAGGCATTGAGAGAACGTGAGGCAGAGGTCCAGGTCTACAAAACTGGAGGGGGTGGGCCCAGGGGTGGTGTCCTGCTGTCAGAGCAGCAGAGGTGAAAGGTCACAGATGAGAAGATCTGGGAAATGCCTGACTCCCCAAATCCTGAGAAGAATGTGGTAAGGAGGTCCAGTCTGCTGCATAGCTAGTATGTATCTGGCAGCCCTGACCCTGGTCCTGACCTTCCTAATCTTCCTGCTTCTAGAAGGTGTTGTGGAGAGTGCCCTGCCAGGGGGTTCTGATATCCTCAAATTGAAGCCAGTCCTGTCCCCGTCTCCTCATGCTCACCATGGATCCCACCTATAATCCCCATCCCTGGCCCAAGCTCTGGGCTACCCAGAATCCAAATCTCCCCGCTATGTCCCAGTTTCCCCTGATAGCTCAGACTCTGAACTGGGCTTCACTCTCAGGCCTTCCACCAACTGACCCTCTTCATCCCCTCCCAGCAAATGCGGGGAGTGTGTGGCAGGTAAGAAAAAAGGCAGTCCCTAAGGCCACGGAGAGAGGCATGGCACTTCACACCATGGGGAAGAACATGGAGAGGGGACAGTGTCCACCCATCCTACATTCTGGAGAACATAGTGAAGAGTAGACTATTGAGGAGGTTCAAAGGGGATGCAGGGAACAGAAGTGGAATTGGATCAAACTCGACTGGACATCCTAATTAAGGAACCAAGCAAAGTCTGCCACTAGCTCCCTTGTCTGTAGTCCTGACCCACGTCCAGATTGTCTCTCTGGACAATGCCATGGCTTCCAGCATTCTGTGTTTCCTTATTTGTGAAAAAAGTTTTCTAGAGATAACTCTTTAGTGGCAGAGATGCCACCAAAAGAACTGGAAAACATACTCAAAGTCAGTCTCTAGAGACAAAAGATGAAAAAGAAATCGCTGTTTCCTTTGACCCTACTGAAGATGTCATCCAGTCATTCAAATTGCAAAAATTACAACTCCAACAGACAAATATGGAAAGGAAGAAGCTAGGATCTAAGAAAAAGAAAACAAAATGAAGAAGAAAACCTGGGATATGAATTGGCATCGGGAAACTTTGGGTTTGATTCCTTTAAATTTTAAGCTGCAAGACTCAAGCTTGTCTATCTATCTTCTTTCTTTTCCTTCACTTTGGAGGTAAATAATTTTGTTCCTGCAAGAAGAGACTGCCTTAGGATGAACATGTTTTAAGTGAGTGTTCCAGGCTTTCAAAAGGGCTTGTTATTTTGGGGACATGGTTCCCTTTTAATATACTGTTAAATTGAAAAAGTGAGTTCTTACTGGGAAATTTTCAGAGACTTTTCATGTAGGTCCGTATCAACATTAGAATTATTTTTTTTAGGTTGGATGCAGTGGCTCACGCCTATTAATCTCAGCATTTTGGGAGGATGAAGTGGGTGGATCACCTGAGCCCAGGAGCTCAAACCAGCCTGGGCAACATGGTGAAACCCCCATCTCTACAAAACATACAAAAATTAGCTGGGCATGGTGGCGTGTGCCTATAGTCCCAGCTACTTGGTGGGGAACAGGGAATTGGGGGTGGGGGCAGAAGCGGCTGAGGTGGGAGGATTGCTTGAGCCTAGAAGGTCAAGACTGCACTGAGCTATGATCATGCCACTGCACTTCACCCTGGGTGACAGAATGAGACCCTGTCTCAAAAATAAATAAATAAATAAAAATGGTTAAGTAATTAATGTTTGAATATGTCTAAGAGACTGGCTTATTTTTCAACTATTTATATGTGCTGATTCATTGGAAGTTAATTTAGTTCCTAAACAAATCAATATTTTGGTCTTTTTCTATTTTAGTTATAGGACATTGATTATTCTCTGCCTCCAAGACCAGACATAAGTACTATAGGCCACTAAATTACCCCAATACTGTTTTATGACTTGGATTTTATTTTAAAGCACTAATTTTACATCCAGGCTTAACCAAACACTGGCTCCATATGCTTCACTTTCAAGTATATAGAAAGAAATGCCCAGAAGTTTCTGGAAGAGGGATTTGTACTATATTTCAGATAAAGGAAGATATATATCAGCAGAAAAAAGGCAAAGCTGAATCACTAAACACTGAAGACACATCTAGGGGAATAATTAAGGGCTGACTTTCTCCTAGGAGTTTGCACTAAAAGAATAAAGAAAAATGGAGATATTATCTCCAGAGTGGAGAGGATTTGAAGAAATCATCTCACAAATATTTTACGACTGATTATCTTCCAAGTATACTAAAAGGTCAAAGAGATTGTTTTAGGTTGTGAAAAATCCACAGGGATAGAGTTAAATTAAAATTGTAGCATGAGGGAATTAGTCCACTAAAAATTGTGGACTAATTTTTAGATTGGCATTTGTTTTGTCAACAGCAATAAAAAAGTAGAAGTGACACAGAAAAATCAGGGAATTTAAGAAAAAAAATTAGACTACAAACTAATCTAAGTTGATAACTTTCTCAGCTTTGGACATTATTTACGAAGCAATGTAGGGAAATTATCCTCACATTTTTTTCTGTGGAATTTTACATTTTTATAACAGTACATCTAATGCTCCAAAATGGGCTATCCAGGTACTGCAGAATGTGGACTATAAATGCAAACATAGTTAATCCATACCAATATTGGGATATAACGGAACTCGCTGTTACTCCCTTATTTCCTGTTTTCTGCTTTCATTTTCTCTTGGAAAGAGTTAACGGGATTTTGCCAAGGGACACTGAGAATGACCTGGGATGGTCTGAGGGATGTAAGGGGTAATGAGAAGGTGGCCTTGTAGCCAGGATGTCGGCAATTAGCAAGGACACCTGCACAGCCCCAGAATGCCAGCTCTGTCTGGGTCTTCTGAGATCTAATTATAAGGATTCAAGGAACACTGTGACGGATACACAGTTTGAACAGTATGGGTTCAAATTGCACAGCTAAAATTTTTGATATCTTTGCCCTGATGGTTTCTTATATTTGGCTTAGTTATATTTTCAGATCTCTTGACTGGCTCCTATCTTTTAAGAATTTGGTGAGAACGGCCAGGCGCGGTGGCTCAAGCCTGTAATCCCAGCACTTTGGGAGGCCGAGACAGGCAGATCATGAGGTCAGGAGATCGAGACCATCCTGGCTAACATGGTGAAACCCTGTCTCTACTAAAAAATACAAAAAACTAGCCGGGCGAGGTGGCGGGCGCCTGTAGTCCCAGCTACTCGGGAGGCTGAGGCAGGAGAATGGCGTAAACCCCGGAGGCGGAGTTTGCAGTGAGCTGAGATCCGGCCACTGCACTCCAGCCTGGGCGACAGAGCAAGACTCCGTCTCAAAAAAACAAAACAAAACAAAGAATTTGGTGAGAACTACTAAACTGCGGCCATGCCTTTTTCTACATACTCCAGGCCTTAGGAGAAACTGAAGTCAGGTTAAAAGCATTTCAATGCATGCTCACTGCCCTAGTGCAAAGGGAGCAACATAGCTCATCTGTTACTTGCTAGGGATCTGGAGTCAGGCTCACCCAGATTCTAAGGTAGATACTCACCTTCTACCTCAGGCAAAATATTTAACTTTCCCTTATCTACAAAAAAAACGATGACAAGAATAAAAGCATGTATCAACTATTACAGTACTATTGTGAGGATTAAATTAGCAGTGTCTGAAACACAGCACATATTCAGTATATGTCATTTTGTTGTAAACATTACCTGAATTGTTTGCCTATATACAAAAATCAAATGCTAAGTTTGTGGCCTGTTTTTTTTTCAAAACATATTTTACATCTGTAAACTCCTGAATCCCTACTGTCTGCTCCTATGTCCCAGATAAGAATGAAGTACTACTCCCAAGTGTAGACTGTCCTGGATTATTTGAAGACAAGGAAGATAACTGTCATCTCCTGTCCTAGTACTGACAACTGCAATTTGACCAATGGGCCCTTAAATGGACACTGCTGCAGAATGAAATAAGTCTAAGAATGGCAAGGAGGGACCACAGAGAACCTACAGGGAAAAGAGAAAACACAGCTTTATGTTCTGGCCCATGTGGAAAAGAACAGGAGTTAGAGCAGGGCTTTAGGCAACACCTCAAAGCCAGCAGCTTTTCCTTATTGCCTTACTTAAGACAATGGGAGCTTTTGGCCCAGTGCAGTGGCTCACACCTATAATCCCAGCACTTTGGGAGGCCAAGACAGGTGGTTCATGAGGTCAGGAGATTGAGACCAACTTGGCCAACATGGTGAAATCCTGTCTCTACCAAAAATACAAAAATTAGCTAGGTGTGGTGGTGTGCACCTGTAGTCCCAGCTACTCAGGAGGCTGAGTCAGGAGAATCACTTGAATCTGGGAGGCAGAGGTTGCAGTGAGCTAAGATCGCGCCACTGCACTCCAGCCTGGGTGACAGTGAGACTCTGTCTCAAAAAAAAGGAAAGAAAGAAAGAAGGAAAGAAAGTGGGAGCTTTTTATGTGACTTGAGGCTCTCCCTGCTACAAGGAAGGTCTTTTCAGGTTGACAGACACTGTATCCAGATAAGGAAGAATCATCTAGCACTGAACACTCTGGAGCCAATCAGGATGCTTGTGTCAAGTCCAGAGAGTGAATATGCTCTCCCTACATGCTGCAGGCTCCTGACACACTTAGGTAGGCTTACTAATTATGAATCACATTCGATCTGCATGTAGCCGAGAGTGGGCTGGTGGAACAGCTGTTGCTGGAGGATTTGGTGAGCCACAGTAGAAAGGGCATCTGGCAATACGAAAGAGAAACAGTGTCTAATATAAAAATAGAATGAGGCACTGTGGGAGCAGGCCTAAAAAGGGGCCAATCAAGCAAAACTGGGGTATGTGCTTCTCACCCAGCTTAAAGAGCCAAGATCTCTCTCTGCAGCATGGCTGCAGCCTCTTCTTCCTCATCTCTGGATGAATCTCCAGCAGGACCCAGGCCCCTCAGTTTCAGCACATTTGCCCCTGCTTTCTCCCAGATGAGAGGTATGATTTTTCTAATTTAGACATATGTCTGACCTAGTAATGCTGGACGCCAGGAAGACCCGTTTTGGTTTCTGTGATACCCTTGCTGCCAAGGCCTGAGAGTCTGAAACCATCTAAGAGTTTTTGCAGTGCTCACATGCATGTCACATGGTGTCAAGAGCCTAGAGATGAGTTGAAAAGATTCCCAGATGTGACACTTCAGGGGTAAAAAGTCTACTTGGGGGTTAAGTCACATCAGCAGGCTCATTTCTCTACCTTTCCTTATAGTTTCTGGACACTTGCTTATAATGAACTTTTCTGATTATGGAGGAGTGGGGAAAACACAGGAAAGAGATTGTGGCGATTCTGCAATGGGAATGGAGGGGTTTTAAACTATATTAATTTTCATCAAAATGTACTCCTTTGAGCTGGGATGTGATATGATACTGCCACATCTGACAATGCCTCAGGACATAGTTGAGTCTGTAAAGCTTCTCAGGACTCTGAAAGTCAGACTGTCCTATAATCCCCCAATACAGAGATCCCCTCTATCTTTCCAAAGTTCCCATGAGAAATCAAGGTGGCACGGCGACTGAATGGGGACACCATTTCAGACCACAGGAACGAACGTGCTAACAGTGTAGAAGTCCCCAGTGTGATGGAGAAGGGGAGCTCAGAGTAGCTAGCTCTCACATCATGGAAGAATGTGGTGAAGATGAAGACACTCCATGCAGAGGTGTGGGGGAAAGCACAGATTTCCTGCCCCCATACACAGAACACGGTGACTGTGTAGACACAAATCCATACTGTAGGCCAGTTTCTTGGCCCATGTGTTGAGTAAAGGTACCCTCAGCCTTCAGGGTGGACAGAGTGTGGAACAGCTGGAGGCCCAAACTTACTTTATTAAGTTGCGAACAGTTTTGTTCATTTCCTCCAATGTGCCTTACAAAAACGACCCTTTTCTATGCATGATAGGTTGGGAAGCACTGCTGTCTCTGTCTGTAGAAGACACAGTGAAGGCACGTACATTCCCAAACCTTCGGAGAACGTGGTGGAAATACAGACTGTGACCCACCACCACGCACAAGTACCCAGTGATAAGATGCAGACACAGCCGCATACCGTGGAGAAGAACATGGTGAAGGTGTAGACAGCAGCTTCCAGCACATATCGACTCCGAATGGCCAGGACCACAGGTGGCAGAAACATGAGGTTGCTCAGGCAGAGCAGGAGTGTGGACAGCAGCTGGAATCCATAGGTGAGCGCATCTGCACTGTCGGTGCAGCCCCAGCCTCTCCACCCTGCGGTTGGGGAGGGAACAGGATGGAAGAGGACAGATGGCAGCCACGGGCCTATGCCACTGCCCGTGGAGGGTGGTCTCACCCTGGCTCTGCCAAAGCCGTCCCCAATTCAGGCTGTGCACTCCCCTACTCCCGCCGCCTGCCCACAAGCCCACAGGTCCACCTCCAGTCCACCGCAGCCCGCTCACCAGCCTTGCACTCGCAGGCTGCGTACAGATAGTTGTGTGTGCGCAGCAGCTTGCACTGGCCATAGGGCCCGCAGTCGTCCACGCATGGGGACAGGAAGGTGCGCATCCGCACCTCGGCCGTCGCGTTGCGGCACCGCACGAACCTGCACACACACTCGCAGTCACCTGGGGCCCCGGGCCACCCCCGCCGAGTCCCGGTCCCAGCCCTGGCCCCGCCCCGCCCCGCTCACCGAGGCCCCACCCCGCACAGGGAGCGAAGGGCCAGGAACCAGGTCCCCGTCTGCGGGAATGGGATTCGCAGCCTGGCAACCCTGGTAGTGGCACTGACGGAGACGAGGAAGCCGGCCAGGGACTCTGAAGGGAGAAGGAAGGGGTCAGTGAGAGGAAGGAGGGGTCAGGACCCAAGAACCCTCACCCACCTGCCCCCACTTCCCGGAACCCTGGCCTACCATTCCTCCATTCCATCCCTCCCCACCTTCACCTCTGCCCGCCACCACCACCACCACCCCTACCACACTGCAGCTTCCTCTCCTCCCCCATTCCTCACCCCACCTTTGGAACAGGTCACTGCTGCATCCCCCAGGCTCAAGGGCACCTCGTGGGTCAAGCATCCAAATACCGTCACGTTTTCCTGGCGCACGGAGCTCTGGGGAGGGTAGGTATGGAGGTGAGGCCGCCACATCCTCCAGCTCCACCCACAGCCACCCTCGGACTCCCACCCCTGTTAACCCACACCTTCCAAGGACAGCCCATTCCTGCCGGCGCTCTGCACGCCAAAGCTGCCCTCTCACCTCCATTCTCAGAACAGAAAAACTGAAAAACAACAGATCCTCCACAGCAGAAATCTTTCAAGGACTGATGAGACGGCAAGGCCCAATTCTGAATCTGTTCTTTGGGCAGAAGTGTTTCAATTCTGTCCGAGCAAGAGAGAACACCCTCTTTTTCAGTCCTATCTAGCTCATTGAGGGGAAGGAGGGCTGTTGCCAGTTATAGAAACTAATTGTGGACAAAGGCAATTGTAAGGTTTTCCATCATCTTCACCTGGACCCCAAGACAGGCAGAGCGTGAAGACACTCACTCCAATTCAGGTGAAATGATCCTAGGTACTGAACGGTGGTAACAGAATGCCCAAGAGATTAAATGTAGCAACATGGCTGGGATTAAAAGAAACCAGATAATCTGCAAGAGTAAATGTAAGGGGTTGTCTACAAGAATAAAGGTAACAGGATGCCATAAGCTCACCTCATTCAAGAAGGATTTGAGGCAGCTTACATAAAATAGAATACAATAAATGCCTGAGGGAAACTTAAAAATCAGGATAGGAAAATAAAGTCTGTCCCTAATGTAGGCCATATATTTGATACTGACTTCCAAGCAACCAAAGCAAAGGAAGTATAATGAGTTACCAGATTTGCAACTACATAATATAAAAGCTAATCAGAGTCTCTGGAGAATCACAGCATCCAAAGGGGAAGTTCTGAGATAAATTCTCATCAAAGCAGCACTGTGTGTTGTCATGCATCCTGTCCTCAGCCACAAGAGTGAGTTTCATACAACTTGCTTATATAACTTCCTTCAATGCAAGCCCAGGGCAATATGCCAAAGTACTACTCAGTGAAAGTCTTTCTAGGAGGGAGCCAAAGAAAAAAGTGTATGCAGTTCTCTGATCCAAATGTCCAGTTCTTGATCCAAGGGGAGAAAAAAAATCAAAATATTTGGAGGAAATACCTTTCAGAATAAACAGAACAGGCTGAGGTGGGTAGCACGTGTCATAGAATGCAGATGATGGAATGTAAACAGATGCTCATTAAAGTGAATGGATGGGAATGCAGAGAGGGAAAGGGTGAGGGGCTGCAGGAGGGCTAGGCTTCTATTCTCAGGGTACTGAGGAAGAAACAACAAGTATGGGCAAGGCTGTCCTCTAATTCAGGGTCTACAGTTTCAAGGTCGAATCAAGATCTCACTGTCATTGCCCAGAGGCATGGCAATAAGCAAACACAAAATACATACAGTCTTAGCGAGAACAAAGAGAGAATTTGATTATGTAAATGAGAAATATATTCAGAGTGAATAAATGACTCTAACCGGACCACTAGAAAGTTCTAAGCCATGTCCCATAAAAGGCCACATGAAGCCACAGACCAGGCCTCAGGTTGCCTGATGGGAAAGTGGTCCCTGCCCTCAGAGCTGGAGGATAGTAGAGTTAAAAGGATCCCTGGCTGGGGGAACAGTATGTAAGTTATTGGATCAAAGCTAAGCTGAAGATATTCTCTAATGGGCCAGCATAGGGCTCCGCCCTCATCTCAGTCTTAATTCTGACAGTAATGATTAAAAAGTACAAAAAGTTGGCTTTGCAAGTGTGTGAATTACACAAAGTGGAGAAGGCCCGAGTCCCAAACCAGTATTAGGCAATGCCTCAAGGAGGGACATAAATTCTTCCATTCAGGTTCAAAAATTCACTGCAAAAATACAATATGCAAATTGGCACCAAAATGTGTATGCCCCTTGATTACAACTAGAGAAACAAAGCAATTAATGGAGAAAAGAAATGGGAGGACATAAACCAAAAACAGCAGTGGGCCAGGCACAGTGGCTCACACTTGTAATCCCAACATATTGGGAGGCCAAGGCAGGCAGATCAGCTGAGTCCAGGAGTTTGAGACCAGCCTGGGCAACATGGTGAAACCCAGTCTCTACTAAAAATACAAAAAATTAGCTGGGTGTGGTGGTGCACTCTTGTAATCCCAGCTACTCTGGAGGCTGAGGCACAAGAATCGCTTGAACCCGGGAAGCGGAGGTTGCAGTGAGCCAAGATCACACCCCTACACTCCAACCTGGGCAACAGAGTGAGGCGCTGTCTCAAAAAAAAAGTTAAACAGTTGCATTAGGGAGATATTTTCCCCTATTTTCCAAAGTTTGTATGTGATCCTATTACTCTTATAATTAAAAAAAAAAAAAAATGTGTACAACTGGTTTGAAGAAAATACAAAGGAAGGAAAAAGACCCAGGGATCTCAATTCACCACAAGCCCTAGGTGATCCCACAGTGTAATGCAGCTGCTGAAAAAAGTAACTCAATCTCAGGCAGCACAAATGCAAGTCTTGTTACCTGCCACCTCGATCAGACCACCTCAGATCACTGATTTCAGAGACACAGTGACCACTAGAAGTATGACCAGGTGAAACAGTGAAGGAAGGGGAGAGATCCAAATACCAAGACCCCAAAGACACTGAGGTTCTTCAGCTTTTGGGAGGTTGGAGGTAACATCTGAAGGGCTGTAAAAATAGGACTGGGACGCAATAAATGTATCATACTAATGTAAGATATTAGTAATAGGGAAAATGTGAGAGAGTGGGTATATGAGAACTTTGTGCTTTCTGTTCAACCTAAAACTGCTCTAAAAAAAATTAAGTCTATTGCTTTAAAAAAGAACAAGACAGAGATAGATTTACTGGAAATGGCTTCTGGATATGGCTTTTACCCACTGAATCAAAGATGAGTGGGTAAAAAATTCATGGAGACAGATTTTGATGGGATGTCAGGAATGCCTCTGGCAATCAGCACTATCCAAACATGAACTGCGTGGCCTCAAGAGGTGGTAAACTCCCCATCAAAGGTGATTTGCAAGAAAAGGTTAACAACTGCCATAGTGAAAGGCCAGTAATGAGCAGGAGGTGAGCCTACAAAACTGGGAAACCCCAGACACTGAGTCGACCTGGTTGACCTGCCCATCTGTAGCAGAGTCAATACTCCGAACATGTTTGTTGACCAGAATTGGGCTAAGTCATGGTCTCTAATTGTCAGGATGGGAGGGAGCAACCTGGATAGGCTTTTACCTTCTGGAGGAGGTAAAGACCCCAACACCCCTGACACCTTTCCCTGCAAGCTCCCCGGGAGAGCAACCTCCCCACTCTCCATAAAGAGTACCGCGTTGAGCTGGAGCTCCAGGCTGAGGACGCCTCCACTGTCCAGCACTGGCAACAGCCTCATGGCGAACACGGCTGGGCGCTCAGGGGGAAGGGCCACACTGGGGCCAAAGAAGATGTAGAAGTGGACAGAGAAGGTGTCCAGCTCGTTGCGCAGAGTCGGGCGCACTGGCCAGCAGTGCTCGGGTGGGGATGTGGTCCCAGGCCCCTCCGCAGGGGTTCCAAGGGATGGTGGCTCTGGGGGCAGTGGCTGGTTGCCCAGTGACTGGGGCATGTTCATGGCAGCTCCAGGGACCAGGGCTCGAAGCAGGCCGGGCTGTGGGCACTCTGTGGGGCAGAGGAAACCAGAGCTTGGGCCTGCAGCCTTTACAGTCCTGAACTTACTCATAAACAGATCTGAGCTAGACAGGATTTCGCAAAGAGTGGGGAAGGATGAGAACTAGAATGCAATGTCCCTTGGGAGTGTGGGGCATCCAGGGTCATAGGGGTTTCCTAATGGTGACAGCTAACGCAATACCACACTGGAGGGAACCGAGGTCATCTATCCCTCCCTAAAGGCAGTGAAGATGCTATTGAAACAAATATTAAGTATGACAGCCTGTCTCACTGACTTGCAAGGGCTTTGGCAAGGACAGTGTCCCAGAGGTCCTGGATGTCTCTGCCTACCCCAGGAAACTGAGAGATTAAATCAAAGAAAGTAATGAGGTCCTTTAGTTGTCTCAAGTCAGATGCAAAAAAAAAAGTTATCTAAAAGCCTTCCAATAACTTGGAGCTCCAAGCGGGATGGCTTCAGGGAGCGTGAAGGAGCCTGGGTGGGGAAGGGGAAGTTGCAGGGATGTGGCAGAGGGCCACTGAACAGAGCCACCCCAAGTCACTTCCCAGCCACGGATATCTGCACAGACTAGGGCAAATGCAGGGGTTCTGACCTTGCAACCGCACACATAGCTGGAAGCGGATGGTCCTACCAGGGCCCCGGGATGATGTTTCCACACGCACGTAGACCCAGTGCCCCCAGGGGGGCAGTGCCAGCTCCAGCTGGCATCCCGAGGCACCTCCACAGGACACAGAGCTTGAGTTGTGCAGGGGTGGGGCTTTGGGACGCAGACGCAGTGACAGGGGGCAGGCAGATACCCCGCGGCCCCCCACACACGCCAGCTGTGCTGAAACCCTGTAAGTGAAGCTGGGCACAAAGACCCTGGGCAGAGGAGAGGTTGGGGGTAAGAAGGCAAAAACAGAGACGAGAGGAACACAGGGCAAGGGAAGCACTAGGAAGGAGGGGGCATGGGGTAGGAAGGAGGGGGCATGGGGTGGGAAGGAGGCCTGTTCAGGTCTCCCGCTCTGTTCTGGGAGGGAGGGAGGCAGGGATCCCACCCAGGGACCAGGCAGGTAGGCGGAGAAGAGAGAACCCTGCAGCCTATTTGAGGCCAGAGAAGTGGGAAAGGACCAGGTGTGGGGAGTCTTTGACTTACTTGTAGAGCGCTGAGCGATTGTGTGGGGAGAGGGTTTGCTCTGAGGGCCGGCCAGGAACCAGTACAGCAACGTCCAGCAAACGCCGGACAATCAGCTGGGGCTGAAGGAGGTACTGACACTCATCCTGGAGACCCTGGGACAAAAGCAGGGGTGGCAGGAGAGGGAGAGACAGCAGGGGCGTGACTAAACCAAGGCAAACAGAACCTGCTGGGTGGGCCAGGGAGAAACCCCCACCCTGGCCACCACTCCCAGGACTCTAACCCAGGTCTCTCTAAACTCTAGGTCCTTCTTGCCTGAGCAGTCATTTCTGGTCATCTCTGTCCCACCTCAGTCTGCAAGGTCTGCTGGGATCCTCAGCACTGGCTAAGGTTTTGGGATTCAAACCCAGGCCCTCCTGACAATCAGGCCTGGCTTGCCCCTTCTCCCAAGCTAACCTCTCCCCCTGAGCATTCTGGGCCAGCCCAGCAGCACTGTGATCTCCAACCAGCCCAGTCCCGACCAGGCTCAGGAACTTAGAACACTGGCTCTTTTAGGCAAAGTGGGGTGGGGTGGAAAGCTCCTTCAAGGCCTCCAATCCAACCCCCTCACTCTCCCCGCCACCAATCTCAACCTTTAATTTCCTCTAGTCCCCACCCTGCCCCACTCCCAAGTGCTTGTCCAGCCTCTGCTTTCACACTCATTACACCCAGGTAATGAGCAGCCCTGCATAGGTAATGAGTGCTGGGCCACTCATTACCTTCCAGGCAACCTCAGACTATAAGCAGCTTGAGAACAGGAACTCTGTCCTATTTGACTTTTGTTCCTCTAGACACAGGGCCTCACATAGAGTGCATACCTCACAGATAAATGTTTGCTGAATTAACGAATCAGTAAATGGATCACAACATCTAGGGGAAGTGCTGACCTTGCTAAAGCCAAATCCTGTCATTTTTGATGCCCCTGCCCCAACTCTGCCTTCAGGAGACCCACTAATCTGTCTGGTCCCTCAGCCTCAGACTGTGTTTCTTCTGCTGCTAAAGGATATCAACCATGTCTCCCCCAGCTTCGCTTCTGGAGAAAATCCCCAGCTCCTTCTCTGTTGACACCCCCTGGCCCGCACAGCCTCATCACTTTCCAGTGAGCACAGTCCTGTTTGTCGCAGTTCCTCTTCTGCAGCACGTGCAGCTATATGAGCCCTACAGACCTCACAGTTAAGGGGAAGTGGGGGCTCCTAATTAGGTCATACCTTCAAACTCTGTTCTGTGACAAAAGTTCCAGGCCCTGACATCCCACTGAGTTCCATGGCTCAGAACAAGCCAGTCAAGGCACTGACTTCCAGCAAAACTCGACAAGGCTAGAAGGTCTGTGCCTTTTGCATCCCCAGTGTCTAGTACACCATCTGGCACATACTAGGTGCTAAAATAGCTGTTAAAGAATGGGTGTCAAAAAGGGGGTCCCTTCAGAGAGCTCCTGAACCAACCTAGATGTTCAGGTTTGGTGTCAAACCCTAAGAACCAAAAGACTCTCACAAGTCACTGCATTGACCCCACCTCCTAAGGCAAGAATTACCACCATAATAATCTTGTAGTGAATGAGTCCCAAGGGTGGGGGCTCATGCTCCAGTGGTGGCCCATTTCCTTGCTAGACAGTCCAGGAAAGAAGCGCTTTGCTCCACGTTTTGGAGTTTTGCTTGTGTTTGATTCAATGAAAGATCAGTGGACATGACCTGTTTGGTTAAGATGTGCTCCTTCCTTCAACTGTGTAACGTGCCAGTCCCCCGTCTTCATGCGGAGGGAGTGTTTAGTCAGTGGAGACCAGGGGAGATGCAGGGAACCGTCACCCAGTGATGGGGCCAGAGAAAGAGCACCAGAAGTCAGGTCCTCAAGAGCTGCCAGGGCAGATGCCAAGTGAGAGTGTCCCAACTGAGCCAAGAGGCCAGAAGAACATCAGCAGTCGGGGAGGCCCAGGGCCCAGGCAAGGAAGCTCGAGAAATTAGGAGAGGCAAAAGTGAGACATGGATGGGCTACAGGCTGAAAGATGCTGGAGTGGAAGGCATGGTAGGTAGATTCCTAGAATGTCCTCATACGTATGGGCTGAGTTTCTTCAGAAAGACCTGAGTGGGGTGGCCAGTGCCAGACTCTGGGTGGGGCTTGCAGACTGAAGATGCCCAAAGACACTTAGCGTTCTCTGCAGGAATAGCGAGTGCACAGCTGAGCCCATGCCCACAGTCAGAAAGCACCCAATCAGTGTAGAAGCAAACGAGTGTTCAACAGACTTCAGGGGGCAAGGGTGAAAGCAGGAAGACCATTTATGAGGCTACTGTGGTAGCCCTGCAGAAAGCAGAGAAACTGTGCTGGAAGTGGAAATGAAGAACTGTAGATGCGTTCAGGGCATGCCTCAGAAGTAGTGTCAACAAGACTTTTTCTTTACAGATTGGTTGTGAGGAATCAGAAGAAAAGAAAAATCAAGGATTTGGGGCACTTAATTTGGGGCTTGAGCAATGGGTGGATGACAGTGCAATTTCCTGAGGAAGATCACAATAACTACAGAAAGCAGCAGCATGGACTGGGAGCAGTGAAATAGAAATTAAGGAGTTTTATAGTTTTAGCTTCACTTTGATTTGGTTTTATTAAATACTCTTTGAGACATTTCTTAGACATCCAATTGGAGATGTCAAGTAAGCAGTGGGATATAAAGTCTGGGATTCAAAGAAATTAGGACTGGCTGAATACTCTTGGAAGCATTAACATACAGACGGTATTTTAAACTATTGTGCTGGAACACCACGCAAGAGAATAGAAAAGTAAAAAAGGAGCTGTTCCAGGACCAAGCATTGGGCCACTACAACATGGAGATCAAGCAGAGGAGAGGCCAGGAAAGGAGACAGAGGAGTGGGCGGTGGGAAAACCATGACAGTTCTGTAAAGTCACAGAGGCCAAGAAGGGAAGGTGTTTCAAAAAGGAAAGAGTAATATAGGGAACTAGTTAACAGCTAGTTACTAGTTAACTCTGGGGAGGGGAATTGGAGACTGAAAGAAGGGAAGAGGAAAACTTACTTTCCACTGTATGTCTTTTGTACCTTTCGAATGTTGTACCAGGTGCACAGATTGCCTATTCAAACTATAAATAAAATAATTTAGGAGGAAGAGGAAAAGCAGCTGCACTATTAGCAGATTCTAACCACCTCTGCTGAGATATTGAGCCACGTGTGGTCCTAGTTGGTGGATTCAACAGAATCCTTTCTCCTGTACAACTGACTTCTTCACTTTCCTTGTAGTTGCTTTCATTATTTTACCTACTTTTTCAAATCTTAGACACAGGAAGAGGAAGGATAAGAAGAGAACCTGTGCTCTAAAGACATTTAGGAGTACTTTCCCCTTATGAGCCATTTGGGTGCCAAATGGTATCCACAACCCAAAGGCCAGCCCCTCAGAGCAGACTGGCAACTGGGCACCTTAGAATGAACACAGGATCCAAAACAGGAAAGGCAAGGAGATGGAGGCCAGGGACAGGACAGAAGTGGCTGGTAGGAAGAAGGTGACAGGGAAAGGAGGTGAAACAGCATCATGTGCCAGACTCTGCACTGAAGGCTAGGAATACATAGTAAATAACACAGACACAGGGTCTGGCAGAAGTGTGGGACTAGAGCTCATGAGGGTGGCCCAGACCAGGTAAGTCACTTCTTTTTCACAACCTTTCAGGGCTCCCTATCACGCTCAGGATACAGTTCCAATGTCAAGGCCCTTCATGATCTGGCCTCTGCTCACCCCTCTACCTTCCTCACCACCCCAAAACCAGCCCACACTGAACCACTTCAGTTCCTTCTAAACTTTGGGCCATGCTACTCCCACCACCTGGTATGCCCTTCCCTACCTTCTCAACCTCAGGCCTCGCCACTTAACAGTTTCCAATACCACCTCCACCACGCTAAGTTAGCCATCTCCCCTTTATCCTCCTAAAACATCTCCTGTATCTAACATGCATCTTATTTATTTCTGTGTCCCCAGCACACAACCCAAGGCCTGGCACAAAGCAGGTACTAAAGGACTGAGGCTAAAGGGAGATCTGAGTTCATCCCCAAAGCTGAGAAGGGCCCTAGAAACCACTGCCTTCTTATCGCTGGGACTCTTCAGTTCCCACCAAAGGATATCCCTAAACCCACATAAATTCCTGTGTTCGCCAAGCCTCACAGGAAGCATACCATAGTAGCAGGAGGAAACAAGTTGAGAAGATGGAGGAATGCTCTAGACAATGAACCCACAGGCTGGAATCCTGGAAATTAACCAGGATCTGGAGAGCTGAAGAACCCTTAGAGGACCATATAAGATTACAGAAGTTAATCTAATTCTTAGAAGGACCGACATAAGATCCTTGCCCCATCAACCTCTCAAACAGGCCTGGCGGAAGCACTACATCTCTCATGGCATCCAGACCCACTGCTGCTTGTGGGCAGAGTGGGATGGTCCTCTTCTGTCTAGCCTCACCACACACCTGGGGGAGCTCTGACCAGGATTCCAGTTCGGTACCAAGTTCCCCAGGCCCCACTTCCCATGTCTAGATGCGAATGTACATGTCAGGCCTAGTTCTTTTCTCACTGCCCAGCTCCCCCTTGGTCTGGGTACTTGAATCACCCTTTAGGGTCTGATCAGCTTTTCTCTGCACTACTATCTCCGTTCCCCACTGTCCCAATCTGATAGCCATAAGCAATCCTGACCACTTCTAACTGGGCCTCAGCTCCCACAATCCCAGCCCAGGCCTAGGCCCTAGGTTCCTGCTTACCTAGAAAGGTTTTTGGATAACTACAGCCAGGCTTCAGGAGGATTTTCCCTGTCAGTTCTCACAAAGTGGGTCAAGGATCAGAGTTAGGATAAGGAACATCCCTGTTGGGATTTTGCCAAAGACCTACGGAGAAGTTCCTTCTAACAGAAGAACCCTCAGTTCTGATGAGAGTCAAGGCCTACCTAGAACCTAGGGCCCCTTCCAAGCTAGCTCCCAACATGCTGTCCTTCAGCAGGCTCGCAGGCCTTGATGGGGAGTTCTTTTGCACATCCACATCAGTCTCAGGAAAAATGGCCGTCACTGAGGCCTAGAGACACTACCTCAGCCCTGCTTCCCATCTCTGACAATAGCAGTTCCAGCACCCTTGTCCTTACGTGAGTCTCAGCTCATTCAAAGGCACTATTCACCACATTTCTGAGTGCTAGAGTCCTGTTCTTTAAATCCTCGCTCTGTTCTTGCTCGTTTATTCACCCTCACCACAGGCCCCATGCACATGGTCATCCCACGCTGACAACAGCCAGCTCAGTACACCCCCTGCTCCTCCTCCAGTGAACAGGAGTAGGAGACCTGTCTGGCCTAATCCATGAGAGTGGCAGGAAAACATTGTGGCATTTCCTTTCACTCCAAACCAGAGAGACGTCTGACCTTTGAACCTGCCCTTCAGTCTTTAACAACCTCTGTGAAATAAGTGCTTGGGGTGGCTGATATTTGGAGAAAAGTGAGGCAAAGGCCAGGATGGACACCAGCTGCCCAAAGCCTCCTTTTAGCAGGAAAGAGCTCCTCTTGTGGTCTTCTGAAGGGTGTAGGAAGCTGTCTGAAATTATGATGCAAGAGGAATGCATTCTCCCAGATGGATTAAAGGCTGGGCCGTGGGCTAAGAGAGTCTTCAGGGCTATTGTCAATCAAGATGTAGAATAAAACCAGTCCTGGGTGTGTGCAGCAGATTGGACCAGCCCATAGTTGGCTTCTGTTCACCTTGATTAACACTTGTGCCTTCCACTAGGAAGCGGCACTACTCCCCCATGCCAGAGCCTCTGACTCCAGATTCTCAACTTTCCCTTCAGCTTACCTGGACCCAGCATGTCCTCCTGGGTCTCCCAAGTTGCCTCCTCCAGATCATGGCCTCTGACCCACTAGGTGACCTGCTGGCCTTTAGCCATGCCCCACCCCAGCCACCCTTGTGCTACTGCCCACCCTGACACAAGGCTGGCATGCCAGGGAGCCTGTGGGGGGAGTTCAGCAAAGATGGAAGGGCAGTTCTAGACCCCCGAGCCTGGGCAACATTAACCCACCTTGACAGAGATGTGGCCATGGGCCTGGGGAAGGTGGGCAGCCAAGAACCAGTCCCCAGGTAAGGGGCTGCTGACGTTAAAGATGCCTGAGGTGCGGTTGGGCAGTGTCCAGCTGAGGGTCAGTGAGAAAACCCCAGGCACAGCTGTGTCCCCTGGGAAGTGTGTATGCAGGGGATTGATGACAGGGGGTGCCCCGGACCGGAAATACCTGGGGGACCAGAATTAGGAGAGGAGAAAAGCAGGCAATGGGGTAGGAGGCAGGAAATGGAAGAAAGAAAGAACTGTCACTCATTACCGGTAAAACAAATAGATTCCCTATACTGACACATTCAACAAAGTGGTTCCAGGTCAGGGGCCACGGGTGAGAGATCAGCTCAAGCACTCGCACAGTCATACAGTAGTCCGGAAGTGGTCATGTGACAGAGGTCATGGCCCTCACTCAGTCACGCTTCAATCTGGACGCGGGTTGGGGTCAGGGTCAGTTAAAATCACACTTTAGTCTGGAAAGTGGTCAGGGGTTGGAAGTGGGGTTGGGAAATTAACTCAGACACTCACACAGTCACACTTTGGTCTGGGCAGTGGTCCCCAAAGGTTCCCCCTTGCTCCTTGAAGATGATGAGGTTCCAAACAGCCAGGAATGTGTCCTCGGGAACATGGAAGTGGAAGAGCTCGGTGCTGGCAAAGGAGCGGAAAGGACTCAGCTTGCGGGGTGAGCAGGTGGAGTAATCAGTCAGGAAAAGGCCTCCTGGGAAGCAGGAGAGAGAGAAAGGAGCAGGGCAGGACAGAGGGCATTTCCATTAAGCAACAGGCATGCCAGTCCTCCTCACTGATAGCATCAACTCCACAAATGCTCTCCTCTGAGCCAGGAACTAGGTTTCAGGCTGCAGATCTGAAACCTAGCCATCATCTGGTTTAATCCTTACGTTAATCTTATTAAAAAAAAACCCTCCTTTTACAGATAAGGAAACTGAGGCTCAGACCTAGATCAAACTGAGGATGCAAATCTAGCTCTCTCTAAATCCAAAACTAAGACCCTTTCTTTGATTTCACAGCTGCCCCTCACTTAGGAGCCATTTTCTCCACTTACCAAACTTAAAAAAAAACAGATGTGGGGAAGGTGTGTGTGTGTGTGTGTGTGTGTGTGTGTGTGTATCTTGGCATGGGCTCTTAAGCCACTAAGCAGGCTGGAACTCCACCTGTGGGGCTTGGGAGTCAGCATGGAACTGTGTAACTTCCTTGTTGATTTTCTTCCCTTCTCTGTTCCCCTGTGGTTAGGAGCAGTAAAAACCCTCAGCAGCCTCACAAGCGCTGCCTGTATACTGGCTCAGGGCAGGAGAGGGGAGGGGAAAGTATGGTACGGCTGCCAGGGGCCTGCTTGGGTGGCAGAAGGACAGGAGCTGGCAGGCCACCATGAGAGTCCCCAGGAAAGGAGACTCATCAGGCCTCCCGGGTCAGAATGTACAGCTAGTAGGTGGGGGCCGGGGGAATGTTCTCCCAAAGGGAGGCCCAGTGAGGCAGTAAGTTGGTGACCCAGTGGATTTCAAGCCCCTTGGGAATCTTCAGAGCAGGCTGAGTTGGGAGGTGGGGAGGAAGTGGTCATCTCTCATTAAAATGCCAAGATACCTGATCATGATTGTCAGGAGCAGAGCCAAGGTAAGCAGAAGTCCTGTCAGCAGCTAGCCAGGCAAGGGACTAGAAGAGCTGTCACAGTGGAGGCAACCCAGTAGCAGACAGGGGAAGAGGGTCCCAAATGGCAGGCAAGGTCTCTCAGAGTAAACCTTTGGGGAATCTGACTGCTCTGGAGACTTCGGACCAGCCTGAAAACAAGCCCAAGATGACACCTCTAGGACAGGTGAGAAGGTGGGGAACTCAGCAGCTTCAGGACACACCCGGGGCTGGGGTACCGACTACTCTGGAGGGGCATTTTCAGCCAAGCAGGAAATACCCTTAGGGCTAACCTAGTCCAATCATCTCCCTCTCTGGAGATGGGAGAGATTAACTCCAAAAATGAGGTGTTTTTGAAATAAAAAAGAAAGGGAAAGGGAGGCTGCTGAAGGAGGAATGCTGAACCAGAGCAACCCCAGGAGTCACCCCAGAGAGCTGCCCTACATAGGTGGGGGCCATTGGAGGTCATGGTTACATTCAAGGACTAGTCTGTCCAGTTCAGACCACATGATCAGTTTCAACTGTCAAGAAGGAAAGCCTGCCACCTTGCAAGCTGAGCACTGCCCAGGAACCCAGAGAGGCTACCAGTGCAGCATTCAGAGAGTGACAGAGATGCATCCGAGAGGGATAAAGGTTACGGAACCCACTGATGGGGGAGACAGGTTTCCTAGGAACCCTAGCTGTACTAAGTAGGAGGCAGAAGGCTAAGAGGTGAACAGCCTGGATACTATTGTTAGAAGAAATCAGAACTCTAGCACACCTTCTGATGGGGTTAGGGAGGGGCTGTTCCTCCTCAAAGCTGGTACCAGGGATGGGTCATCTGATCAACCATTGCTACTGTTAGGAGAAATGTTGGTCAGTCTCTCAGTGCAGACCCTCAGAGGGCTAGTGGTGAAAAGTTTAATGACCTCTGGGAAACATGGACAGACAAGCACAAAGATACTTGTAATTCAAAGGACCACGGTATGGCCTGGAGAACTGGGGAACTAGCTAAGCCATCCCCACGTGGCCAGGGGCTACAGAGGTCACAGAATAGGCCTGTGAGATAAAGGAGTGAGCAGCAGCTGGGAATGCTAGGAGGAACTTGGAAGAAGTTCTGAGGGCAGATGCTTGAAAAGGGTCCACAGCCCCATTCACTCCAAACTTTGGTTTGTGGTTTGAACAGGGCCTTTCAGAGCTGTGTCCAGAGGAAGCATGAGTAAGGCCCTTACCGAGTTCAGATGAACTTATTCCGGGTTCCCCAATATTTCTATGATGAAGCTAGGGTGATTCCGACCATCACCCACACCACACACGCACACCCCACACAACACATAGGCTGAGGCTAGCCCTGCTAGTAACAGCACTAGGTAGAATAAAAGCCCATTGTTTTTTGACTAGCAAGGCATGTGTGGGTCCTCAACTAAGCCCAAGGAAAAGATCCAAGGATCAGGAATGGGACCACTAGACCTAAGAGATAACTTCCATTCCTGAAATGAAACCGAAGCAACCAATAAGCACTATGCAGTCCTGTGCCATGATGATCCTATGACCCTGCCAGCCTCTTCTCAGACAAAACCCATCGCGACCATTAGGTCACAGAGCACCCTGCACTTAGGTCCAAAATTGCCAAGGCATTCACTATTAACAGCACTAAAGGCAGCCCTGCCTCCCTTTGGGTGGACTGGTACTCCTTTCCAACTTCATTACAATTCTCCCCAAAGCACCTGAACCCGCTTCTGGGCAACAGTATTTTTATCCACAACTTTCAGCTGTATATGCTCTGTGGCCATCAGTCACCCTGCTCTCCTCACCCGCCCAATGCTTGCTCAATGGCGCATGAAGCAGCCATGATGGCAGGGGATAGAAGCTAGGAACTTGGCTCAACAGCATAAACTCCCCGTCACCAAAACTGAAAACCTGACTGGCTACTGCCTCTGCCCAGTGCCCAACTTGACAGCAGCAATAATCAACACTGAGTGCCTCCACGGCTCCTTCCTTCAAGGGGACTGGCTGGGGGTGGATGGATAACTTATATTCGTTCTGGGAGGCACCCAACACTGCCCTCACCCTTGGAACTGTTGAGAAAGGGTCTCCAGCCCCATTCACAACTTCAGTGATCTGCTCATATGACAAGCAGGCAGAGCTGAAGAGGAATGTACATGGGCCACAACATGTCCCCTCCCCTTCATACCGTAACACAGGCGCTCAGAAGATACACTGGCTCACATGCACCCCACACACATGCATGTGTCTACACTCACCAACACACAAGCATGTACACACGCTGCCAGCCTTCCCACAATCCCTCAGTTACACACATAGACACGTAAGTGACCAGACATCTCTGCAGGGGCTGTGACCTTTCATGTGCATTCATCTCCTTAAGTTTGTACACTGAACCAGGCCCCCAGAGCTCACTCATACCCACTCTCCACCCCTAGCTGCTCTGTTGGCTGTTATTTCCTAAGACTCCATCAGGCACATCTCCATCCTAGAGTGACACACACCAGAGGTGGCTATGGACTTGGGCCATGAAGACTAGAGTCATTTCATGATGTAGCCATCTTCATGACACGTCCCCTAGACCAAGACACCCCCTCCTCCTCCCACATTCCACCCATTAAAATATTGGACCTCTCTCCTGTCCAAGTCACTTCCCCACTGGAGGGTGGCCCTTGACTGACGCCCAGCAATTAAGGAACAGTTTGTGGATAAAGCCCCCTTGTGGGCAGACTGGGGAGAAGGGAGGTTACGCTTTGAGCCTTTCCCCACTTGGGTCTGTTTTTCCATTAAGTATACATTGCAGTGGAGAGAAAAAAAAAAAAAAAAACCCACTAGTATGAGATAGGAATTAGGAAACCTTTTTTCTAGCCCCAGCACGCAGCCTATCACAAGCTATCTGAACTTGGACAAACTGCTCCCTCCCTGAGCCTCAGTTTCCCCATCTGTAAAATGGCCTCCGAGTTTCAGCCCTGCTCTAAAAGCATCAGGAATTATTCCTAGGCAAATCAATCTTCTTTGGAACAAGAATCATTACAAGAAGAAAACTCATTATAATGGCAATTAATCCATATTCATCTGTTTGCTACATATTATCTTTAAAACTCTTCATGCTGTTTGAATGCATGCCCAATATCTCAAAGGTTTAGGCTATATATTCCCAGACTGCACTAGGGGCTTCTGGTGTGGGACTGTCTCTCCCCCATCAAACTTTGTGAGCAGGGGCAAAGCCCACAAGATTTCCCTGGAAAAGCAAGAGTCAAAGTGGGGTCAGGACAGACACCAGAAAATATCTTGGAGTCTCTGTCCTAGAAACTGTAAGCCACCTGCTGAGCCTCAAACCCAATTAATTACCACTCTTTTGACCCTGCCAATCCCTCTGTTCTGTAAGACTTCTCTCCTCTCTATTTCTCCCACTTGCTCCCCAGTGATCTAGTTCCCCAGGTCCCACCACTCCTGAATCTCTCCAGCCCACCCCTCCCTGCCGGAACCCCATTCCTGCCTCAATCTTCCCTGCTTCTGCACTCACCAGCCCCCGGGCCAAGGACAGAGAACAGCAACAGCAGCAATAGGGCTGGCGGCAGCTGAAACCCAGACTTGAGTCTAGGCTGGGAGAGGGGCAGAGTATAAGAGATTGGGGGGACTAGCGGGAGAGACTTGGGTAAACACAGAGATGAGGGCAAAAGCTGAGATAATGGGTTGGGCTGGGCTGGACACTGGGGCTTGAACAAGGGCAGGGAGTGGGATGGAAGGAGGGGCTGTGATGGGGACTGCAGCAAGGGACCGGGCTGAGCCAGGGCCTTAAGCAAACACTGGGAATGGGGTTGGGACAGGCCCTGGGCTGAGATTTGTGACAGGGGGTGGAACGAGGGCCGAGGCCGGGATGGGGGCCAGGCTAGGGGCAGGGACTGGAAGGGGGTCCTGGATGGAGACCCAGGCAGGTGTTGGGGCCGATTTGGGAAGCGGGGCGAGGGCGGGACTGGGGGCCAAGGCGGGGATCGGGATAGGACGAGGGGCCGGGACAAGGGCTGGGCCATGGCCCGGGGCGGGGGCGGGGCCGGACAGGCCAGCGCGGGGCGCTCGCAGAGCTGACCCGCGGCTCCGCTCCCCACCCCCGGGGGGTGACCTCCGGTGTCCTCACGGGCCCGGAGTAGGGGCCGGGGATCTGGGTGGGAGTTCAGGCCTGGGCGACTCCGGGCTGCGCTGAACCGGCGATAACCAGGCCCCGCGGCGGCGGCCTCGGCTTGACGTCAGCATGACGCCCCGCCCCCCGGCCGGCTCAATTGGTCCCTGTCAGTAAATCCCGCCCCCGCCCTACTCTATTGGTCTCCAACTTAGTCCTGCCGGGCTTCGAGGACACACAGACTCCGCCCCCGCCCCGCTACCCAAGACCCTGCCTTTCTCACCCAAGCACAGAGCCCGAGGTCCCCTCAGATCCTCACAGCCCCCAACGACCGGCCCACAGATGTCTCAAAGGAAACCTATCCTCACAATCCCAGACCCCCCCGGATGTACGCACAGATCTCCGCAGATCCTACCCAGACACTCGCTCACAGAGATCCCGCAACACACACCCCACTTTTCAGAAGTAAACCCCCTGGGCTCGCCCCCTCGAGGCCCAATGCAAGCTCCTCAGGAGACCGCACCCACCGGGGAAGTGACTAGACCGCCGTTGCCACGGAAACTACTAGGCGTTCCAGTTGCCCTGGTGACCTGTGCCTACTCTCCTGGCCCGGGTTCCGGAGGCGTCAGTCAAGCCCCTCCCTCATCGGCCCTGGACCCCTTGCCCCTACCCACTTCCCCAGGTCATGCCAGAGCTCCTTTGCGAAGTTCTGCAGATAGCCAAGTCCCTTCCCCAGATAGCAGACTTTCAGGCAAGGCATTTCAACACTCAGCGCCTGCAGCTGGGGCACGTCCACAACCAAGAGCTTTCCCTCCCTGAGGATCAACACCTCCCCCTGTCATCCTAAGGCAAGGTCTTGACCTAAGGACTTGTAACAACCAAGCCAAAACCCAGAGGTAGGTAATTTCTCCAACGGCCCTCCCCCTCCTCCCCCTAAGACCTCTGTCTCTCTCCCACCCCTCAGTCCCTTCACATTCTGTACTTCTTGTTGTCGTTTGTTGTTGTTGTTGTTGTTGTTTGAGACAAAGTCTCGCTCTGTCCCCCAGGCTGGAGTGCAGTGGTGCGATCTGGGCTCACTGCAACCTCCACCTCCCAGGTTCAAGTGATTTGCTTGCTTCAGCCTCCCCAGTAGCTGGGACTACAGGCACGGGCCACCATGCCCGGCTAATTTTTGTATTTTTCGTAGAGACGGGGTTTCACCATGTTGGCCAGGCTGGTCTTGAACTCCTGACCTCAAGTGATCCACCCACCTTGGCCTCCCAAAGTTCTGGGATTACTGGCATGAGCCACCACGCCTGGCCCACATTCTGTACTTTTCATCCTTACTCTCTTCCTCCACCCAATTTCCTCCTCCCCTTCCCTTTCCCCTTCCTCACCTTCCATCCTCTGGTTCTCCACCCTTAGGCCCCTTTACTCTCTAGCTGACTCTGGTCATCTTCCTCCCCATAATCCTACTTCTGCCCCTAATTCCTTTCCCAAACGTCCACTTCAAAAAGGCTCTGATTAGTTTAAGGAGTGATATATCTAGTGTCTCTGGAACATGGGGGGAAAGTAGGGAGCATGGAAATTTAAGGTAGGAATCCTCAGGCTGTGTTGAAAATGATGACAGGCCTTGAATGCCAGGGCCAAGAAATTTGGACTTAATCCTTTAGACTGAGTCATGGAATGTTTTTTGTTTTTTGTTTTTTGAGACGGAGTCTCGCTCTGTGGCCCAGGCGCCTGGCGCTGCTGGATCGGACGTCTCAGCTCCCACCTGCAAACGCTCCGCCTCCGGGTTTACGCCCGATTCTCCCTGCCTCAGCCTCCCAGAGGTAGCCTGGGATACAGGAGCGCACCGCATCTCAGCGCTGGCTAGTTTTTTGTATTTTTTTAGTAGAGACAGGGTTTCACCGTGTTAGCCAAGACATGAAATGTTTTTAAGCCACAAAGTGCCAGTGTTGGGTTTGCACTTTAGAAAGATCCTGATTGGGTCAGGAAGGAGGACTACATCCTTACAGGATAAATTAGGTATATCCCCCTCCCCACAGTATCCTAGGCTCACCCCAGCACAACATCAATTTATTTGTATTGCCATTGTTGGTTATTCGGTCTTTCTCCCAGACTCAGCTCAATCTAGAGCTTAACACAGTGGCTCAGTAAAAGCATCAGATTAGGCTCTTTGTAAAAGTATAAGTTACATAAATCCATGAAAGAATGGGTGAATGGATTAAAATGCTGTGGATGGAAGTAGAGGGGCAAAGTTGTCACACAAAGGCTGAAGATGATGAGAACTTGAATAAAATTGGAAGGGAGAGGAGAGAATGCATTTGGGGAATATTTAGAAGATAGGAAATACAGTTATTGATGCCTATTTGAAGATGGAGTCTAAGGGAAAAGGAGAAGACTAGGATAATTCCCAAAGTTCAGTTTTGATGCCTGTGGAAACACTCAGTTAGAAATGCCCAGCAGGGGCCAAGCATGGTGGCTCACTCCTGTAATCTCAGCACTTTGGGAGGCCAAGCGGGGCAGATCACCTGAGGTCAGGAGTTCAAGACCAGCCTGACCAACATGGTGAAACCCTGTCTCTACTAAAAATACAAACTTTAGCTGGGCATGGTGGCACATGCTTGTAATTCCAGTTACTCGTGAGGCTGAAGCAGGAGAATCACTTGAACCCGGGAGGCGGAGGTTGCAGTGAACTGAGATTGCGCCACTGCTCTCCAGTCTGGGCAACAGAGCGAGACTCCATCACAAAAGAAAAGAGAAGGGAAGGGAAGGGGGAGGAGAGAGGGGGAGGGCAGGGGAGGGGACAGGAGGGGACAGGAGGGAAGGGAAGGGAAGGGAAGGCCAGCAGACAGGTGGATATGAGTGTGAAGTACAGAGGTTGAAAGAGGTCTGAGCTAGAAATTTGAATTTAGGAGTCATTGGTACACAACGGGAAGTAGTTGAAGCTTTGAACATGAATGACATCATTAAGGGAGGAAGATGTGTGTGGTGCTTAGACAAAACCAGGCTGCGTGCAGAGTCTTGCCTTATGCGACATAGCATTCCCCTGCACTCTCAGGAGCCAACCCCAACTTTGGCTTGGTATTGCCAGTCTCTAAAACTCCATGGTCTGACCTCCAGGGTTTTACGAAATGCCAAGGACCCTGCTCTTGGACTGGCCAAGTGGCGGTGTTCAAACTCCCTCCTGGGACATGGTTCTCTGCTACCATCTACTGATGAGATTCTAACTACTTCAGTCTTTCAATCTTTAAGTTCCACCTCCCTAACAAGCCACAGCAGCCTGCCATATGAGGTCTGGACACATGGGTGAACCTCCTGGCATCACACTCTAAGACCCAGAGTTCATGTTGTTTCCCTCTGATATCTCAGGTGCACTGAGAATCTTATCCAAATTCCATAATGCACTGCGAACCCTGGGCTGTGCCCTGACTTACAGGCCCTCTATTTCCAAACTAATGAAGCCTGTACCCTGTTCTACCACTAGATGGAAGCAGATGAGATCACAGAAGAGCCTCATACCACCATGGATGCAGAGGAGAACCCCCTTTCAAAGGACCCCTCTGCTGAGGACTTACAGGAGAACCGTATCTCTGAAAGCTTCTTGGAGCCTTCCACCTCTGAGACCCCCTTAGAGCCCCATACCTCTGAATCCCCTTTGGTGCCATCCCCTTCCCAGATCCCCTTAGAGGCCTATTCCCCTGAAATCCATCAGGAGCCTTCCATCTCTGAGACTCCTTCAGGGACCCCTACCTATGAGGCTTCATTGGATAGTCCCATCTCAGTGGTACCAGAGAAACACCTTACTCTTCCTCCCCAATCACGAAACTATGTCTCTCTGTCTTCCTCTGATACTTTGAAGGAAGACCTCTCCTCTGAGTTTTCTTCCAATGAGGTCCCATGGACAAGGAGGTCTACCCATTTCTCTGAATCTGAGAGCCTTCCAGAACACTCTCCTTCAGGCCCTTCAGCCCAGGTCCAAATGGACGCATCTGAAAAGCAGGAGGAAGAAGCAGGAGAGGTTGAAAAGGGAGTAGATGCCAGTGACAGCACTGATCACACAGCCCAACCTGGACACCAACTAGGCAAGAAGAAGAAGAAAGGAGTTAGCTGTAATTGCACCTGTCCTCTCCCCTGTCCTGTTCTCACTACTGTTCACTGTTCTTGACTTGCCCCAGGAGGAGGAGACTGGGTTACTCTTGGACATGGCCCCTTCTCTTAGTTTTAGGGCCTTCTCACTTCCCCCTGGTTACTCATCCCCTCCCATCCTAGGTTACACAGCCCGCCCAGTGGTCCCTGCTAAGCAGACAGAGCTGGTGGAAGTGGCTAAGGCAATGCATAGAGAGGAGTTTGGTGCTCAGGTGAACAATCTTTTCCAGTGGGAGAAGGATGCAGCCCTGAATGCCATCCAGACAGGTGAGCCCATGTGGCCTTACAGAGGCCTGTGACAGGCCCATGGGCATCCTCTAATCCAAAAGATCTGGGAACCTGAACATTCAGCAGATAGCTGCCCCTTTTGGAAATGGCAGTACCACCTGTGTGGAAAAGAAGCAGGCAAGTGGGCCAAGGAATACAAGGGTGGATGCAGACAAAAAGTGGGGAGATTCATATAAAGCCCAGGTAGAAACAGGTAGCTGAACTAAAATTATTAAAAACAGAAGGGTCATGGGCCCACCCCAGATATAGGGCCTAGAGAGCCTACAGACCCTAAAGCAGAGATGGCCCAGGACCCTGGACAGTCCCCAGGAGACTTGCTGTTCTGACATGACAAAGACCTTAGTCCCTTTGGTGGAACTCCATTAAAAGGCTGACACCCCTGCATGCCAGGCCCATGCTGGGTGCCCAAAAGCTTTGAGTTCTGTTACCAAAGGGGAGAGCTGTGTCCTCTGGCCCTGCTGATTCCAAGCCTCAGCCTACGATTAGTCCTCCTGACAGTCCTGTTAGTGGCATGCTGCGTACAGATG